CCCCGAATGTAACCAGTAGATGTAAAATGAGAGGAAAACAACGCGTAGGGCAAGCATCGCGGACCAAACCAATCGATCGGCGGGGGAACGCGTCGCCATTGCGTTTGCGTGATGGAGCAAGCCTGTCGCGATTCCGTTTGTGACCAACAGGCGGCGCCGTCGGGCTCGCCCTGCAGCTGCACACCTGTTGGTGGTTATCCAATCAGCGCTTTCCAAGGACTCCCGGCGCGCCTGCTCGGGCGGCTCATTGTTTGGTTGTGTTCTGGTCATGTATCGGTTATTGATCGTTTTTGTTTCAGTCATGGTTTTAGTTTGACACTTTGGACTTTGTTTGTTTTGGATTGAGTTTTCTCTGTTTTTTATCAATACACTTTGTCAAGCACAACCTGCTCCTCCCTCCCGCCTGCTTTTTGGGGTCCACCACCACCCCACCACCACCACCTGGCATCGTGACAAAGCCCTCACTTGCCGACCGGCGGCGATCGGGAGAAGGCGCCAAGCGCGCTCCGCCGCCACCGGCGACGGCGCGGCCGCTCTCACCTTGAGTGCCGACAACGACGACGGGGACGTCGGCGCGCAGCGAGCCCAGCTTGCTGTACAGCTGGTAGAGCTCCTGGAAGCTGCCTTCGTTTTCCAGACTGAACACCAGAATGACGCCGTCCGCCCAGCTGCTGAACTGAAGAAGGGCGCAGATGATCAGACCGGAGGGGGGCGCACACACACACACGCCGCCGCCGCGTGGCTGTCCACAAACCTGCGCGTCAGGTGCACCGCACTCCTCTCGAATCAGTAATAAATAACTCTGCCCGTCCACCAGCACCTCCTTCTTATAGCGGCCACCTGACCGAGACGAGTCGTCAAGGATCACACACACGCGCACACAAAAACACACGTTAAGATTTTGCTTCACCACGAATGTAAAATGGAGTCGGTCCTCCAAGATGGAAATCTTGTGTGATCAAACAAAAATGAAGAAGACGAAACATGAGCAGATAACGTGCGTCCATGTTTTTTTTCCCCAGAAGAAGACGGATTGACCGAAAATGACGATGTCGTCAAAACGGACGCGCGACGGTAAATCCTACCTGGCGTCTGGGCAGGCCACTTTGATGCAAAGAGCAACAGCGGGTAGGACACGCTCGTTTTTGTTTGTTGGGCCGCACGTTTGTTCGTCGGTGAGCCGACTTGTTGCACGGCAGCACGACATTTCACAGTTTGTCGGCTTTTCCCGCAAACACCAAGACACGTTCAACATTTTAGCGCGTCGGACCATCTCATAAGATCGACCGATGTTGAACATCTTTGGTCGAAAATCCAGACGACCCCCCCCCCCCCCGTGTAGCAGCCATCCATGCGTTTGTGTCTATTTCTTGGAACAAAAACAACCACGTCATCCCTTTTTGAATCAAGAAGTCAACTCTTTTCAAGGCGATGCGAAGGTCCAAGGTAGAAAGGCCAGCAGTCGGTGAGGCGTCCCCGTCCCCGGACAAGGACGGGGACGGGGACGGGGACGCTAAAGCTCCTCGGTTACGAGACAACTTCCGGGAGGAAGCAAGTGGGCCCGGTCTCCGGTGAGTCTCCAGTCTCACATGAGCAAATTTGGCAAGCGGCACGCACTCCTTGTCCTTGGGTTTTGTCCAAGCCATGAAATTTTTCACCTGGAGACACCTCAAACGCTTTGTTTTCAGACGCTCCTTTTACAATCGGAGACGTTGAACGCATTCCGTCCGAACTGGATGATGAGGCACCGTGCAGCAGTTGACTTTTGCATGAGTGGCGGTTGTGAAGCGCAACCTCTCGTTCAAACGTTGAAACGCACGCCACGAAACAAAGTTCCTCTTACCGTCGGCTTTCTCGAGCGCCACATAAGAGCCGGTGACGTATTTGGTCACCAGCGCCGACTTGCCGCTTTTCACGCTTCCCAGAACGCCCTGAAAGAAATGGACAGAAGATTGGAGACGCGCAACGGCGTTCGCGCAACGGCGGCCCTCGTTTTTGCTCAGGCGCGCCACGGCGGCCGGCGGCCGGCTTGCGGCGGAAGCCTCACCAGTCTCAGCTCCGGAACGGGTCTGCTCAGGCTCCATTCCTGACTGTTGGCGATGTTAACTGCGGACATCCAGAGAGACAAAAGCAGTCAGCGAAGCCGCGACGCGACCGAGGCTTCGTCGCGTTCGTCGTGAGCGGCCCTCGCCGCCGCCTGAGGCCAGCCGCAAGTCGCGGCTCCCCGACCGGGCGTCAGAAGCACGCGTGTGGCCCGGCCAACGGCGTTAATGAACGCCGCCTTCCCGCAACGACGGCGGCGGGGGGGATTCCGACGCGCTGCGGCCACGCTGCTCGCGGGCCGCTCGGCCGCCCTCGTGCCGGGAAGGACGGACAAAGCCTGAGGAGGAACTGCGTTTTGGAAAAGCTCCCCGAGTGCCGAGACGGGAACGTGCCTGCTCACAAATTGAACCGTTCCCTCGGCACTCGGACTTGCGTCCTGATGGATGAAAAGTGCCACGTCAATAAAGTGGGAGCGGTTGAACAAGAGTGAAATCACACTTGTTTATCTGCGGTGAGCTGTGGGCCAGGTTAGATGAGAAAGAAATGCATGTTGAGGGTTTGGGGGGCGGGGGTGTTTTGCTTGATTACCGAGCTGTTTTTTTTTGGGG